AAAGATCGAAACGTTGGCACGATAAAGAAAATGTTTTTCTAAACCCAACGTCACCACATCTCACGATCTACGAATAATTATTTCCAAAATGTTTTTCCGTCATAGTCCGCAATGTAAATATTTTTAGCCACCAACATTAACGAATATAGAAAATTAATCACCAACGTAGAGGTTATCACATCGAGAGATTGAATAAAAAGATTAGTGGCAGAAATGAGAAAAGCACCAGAAGGACATGTCTAATCACGAAAATATCATGTTCTGCAATGTAATTGTTGGGCCCTCAACATAAAGGAACAAAAAAAACCATCACTGCAGTAAGGAGTGAGAGGTAGATTTCTTTCTTTTGGGGAATCAATCCAGCGATGCGAAAACTTTGCTACTTTAAAAATTATAGTATAATTTGAAATATTATTATTTATTTTATACAAAACATCATAAACATATTGCAATAGTATAAAAAATTAATCAATTGTTTTTGTTTCTTATTAACAGGTAGGTTTAAATTAAATTAGATTCGGGCCATTTTTTCCCCTAGACCACTGAAAATAATGAAAATAAAATAATGGTTTACTAGTTAACTACCAAATTTGAAATTTTATTTAAGCTATTTAATTAATTATTTTCTAGCGTTACCTCATAATTACTTTTTGGTAAGAATAGGAGATTTAAGGAAAAATACTTGTGATGGCCACGGCATATTTATTAATAATACTCACAATTTTAAGGACTTTTGCTTTATACCCTGCTTTCTCTGTTAACTTAAAAGAAATCTTGGCATATTTGTAAAAAAAAATTAAGAAACGCCTATGGTTTCATTTTATTATAAAAAAGAAATTAATTTGATATTTGAAACGAAAGAAATTAGCTTTGAAAGCACCGTATTTAAGAAAAATCCTAGTTAAAAATGGGATTTTTCAAATTATGATACCATTTTAAAATACTGCTTTGATTTGATGCTTGGATTTGAGCCAAACCGAGCATTAACGTTACAGGAATAATCCAGCTTAAAATCGGTACCAAAATGTTAAAATCCAATAATGAGGGGCGTAGCTAGGAGAGAGTGGAGTTAAACAAACCGAGCTGGTTGTTGTGCGGGAGAAAACGCAAAAATGGCCAAAATTTTGATTGAATTTTTTACTTTAATCGCCTAGATAACTCTGCGATCCCCAGGGGATTTAGCTGAAAAAGAATCCCAGCCGTCCTTACAGGATTCTTTACCACCCTGCCAAATTTCATTGCAATGCGATCAAAAATGCGGTCGCAATCTTCAGTCTGAAAAAAATCTACCTAAAATTAAACATCAACTTACAAGTTTGTTGATATCAAATCGAGTGATCGAAGTATCGAACCTGGAGAAAACAAAGCCAAAGCGTGACAAGTTAAAAGGAAACTGATTTAATTTAGGGAAGGTTTATCAGAGGTAACAGATCAAGGTTTTATAATTCTGAAATTATAAAAGCCTAATCGTTTAATTATATCTAAACTACTACATATTACATATAAAACACATAACATCTTCATTAAATTCACTAATTTCGTGGTCCGCTTGACCAATTAATACATTACCATTAATTAAGGTTTTAGTTGAGATGAAAAAAAGTTTTAGTAGTAACTAGTTACTACTTGAGCTATCGTGAAAAATGGCAAAAAGGAGGGAAAACTCATAAGGTGGGGTTGAGATAGGAAGTTGATGTCCGAGTGGATCGAGGTCACGATAGCTCAAGTGGTAGAGCAGCGGCGTATCTAGCCGAAGATCGTGGGTTCGAGTCCCGCTCGTGCCATTAACTTTTTTCATCTCAACTAAAAACCTTAATTAATTGTAATAACATCTTAAGTTGGCTCCACTGATGGATAATCACAGCATTTCTTTTTCTAAGTGAAAACCGTCAAGATAGTTTTGTTAAAAAGAATATATAGTTTATCACAGATCAATACTTCCCAATTATTAGGCAAATGCAAATGGTGAGTCTAGGGTGTACTTATGACGATATCTGCGTATCATTCTGACATAATTGTTAAATTAAACGATTTAAATAGTCTGAGAGTTGCATGTGATGTTTTTACGTAGTTACAGACGTAAAATCCCAAGTAGCATCTTGAGTCTCAGTGAGAAAAGTTATTTATTCAATCGTTTAAACCTCGAAACTCGTAATGTTTCCAGTCGATTTCATTAAGGGAATTGGAATGTTGGCTAAAAGAGGTAAAACTCAAACAGAAAGGAGAGTGATTGAAGTTGTTTACTCGTATTGCTATTTTCTAAATAATTTATATAAATGTTTCATACTCATCTATGTACTAGGCAGTAATGCGTATATCGTTTATTTCAACCATAAATTATAAAATAAGCCATCCTCTCTTGACCAATCTAAATTCGCAAAAAGTTATGTTTTACCAATGGAGCTGTGTGAATCACAATGAAAAAAGAGGGATCGTGCCCACCACATACAGAATAAGCCGTACGTGGTTGACACGAACTTAGAGGATACAGCTCAGGGGGGCAAGGATGCGCGTATGCTTAATTCTGGGCTCCGATGCTAGTCCCAGATTTGGCAGGGATCTAGATGTTTCCAGGCTCATGTACATCGTCTTAGATTAGTTGTGCAGGGAGGAAAGAAGGAAATATGTTAGCTAATCAATTGACACTACTACTCATTAACAGTTAAGCATTTGTAGTGAATTGTTTCAATTCAAATTTTTCAACTATTAACTATTTAGAACTTATATTGGATTGAAGACTAACTTCGAATCCATGCACACGATTAAAAAAACAGACACTCAACAAATGATTTAAAATGCTTTATTACCTACTCAACGACAATCAAAACTACCATTAAAATCAAAACATTCTACATACTTACTCAGACCTATTTGGATATACGGGTGCCAAGTTTATAGATCGGCCAAATATTCTAATATTCAAAGATTACAAAGTTTTCAATCCAAAATTTTAAAACTAATTGTTTCCCCCCCCCGTTTACGCAAACTATAACACACTTCTCAGAGATCTTCATATGCCAATGGTTTTTCAATCATCAAAACATATTACAGATGTTTTCATAGTAAATTACAAAATCCCACTAACACACAAATACGACTACTTCATTACCCTTAGCAATACCCCTTTTTAAGTTATTAATATCATTTATTAATCCCGATAGGCTGCCAATGGGTAGCTTTATCTATAAAGCCCGTAATGCCATAAACATAAATTTTCCAATCTGCTGGTTGTATTTAATAGTAGGTACAAATAAAGGAAGTAAAAAAAATCATTTATTGATTTTTTTTATTTTTGACTCCGCACAAATTAAATCCAGGCTTACATTATTTATAATATTTACATTTACAAAATAATTTTTGTGATAACTTATAAATAGTTCTACCGAAAAAAAAAAAAAAATCCGTCTGTAGATGATTTTGTGATAAATGGTATTTGAAAAATGAAATCTCATATTGCTTCTACTAATGTCAATAATACGAAGATATTTATTATTAAGATTGATTGTGCAATAAAAGAGACAAATTATAACCGTATTTATTTGATGTTCCAGTGGTAATTTTTATAAAAGGCGATCATTTTGACCAAAAACCTTACGACTTGACGACTAACCAAATATTTCTGACTCTTGTGATGTTATATTCATATAGTTTTGTCTTGGCCGATAATCCACGTTTAATTAGGTTATTGAATTTTCGTCGCAATTTTGTCCCCGCGTTGATATATGTTGACTGAATCGGCATGATCAACCTCCTCTTTCCTAGCACTATTGTTTTTTATTTATTTTTTTACGAGGGTTACACGGGGTGTCCCAGTTCCTTCTGACGAAACTCAGGGAATCGATTCAACTCTTCGTTTGGAGCTAAAAATACCAGGAGAAAATTTTTGGAAAGTTTTCTATTTTGAAGATATTCGTCAATTTAGGTTTTTTCAACTATTCACTACCTTACCACGTAAAAACGCTTTTGAAAAAACCATTTGAAAAAACGCTAAATTTGCTGTAAGATACTTCTATTTGCAATTATCTGAATGACATAAAATGTTAGCCAATATCAGTTGGAACATGTCAAAATTACAAAATAAATAATAAATTTTATTTTACAAAGCGAGTTCTAATTGATTTATTTCTAATCCCCCCTTCTAATTTACCTTAGCTCACGTTTTCGAACATTCAATTGTTATTTTTCAACTCTACTAGAACATTATTTAAAAATCTGGATATATCAACGTAAAGCATATAGATGAAGAAGTTTTTGTAAAATTTGACAAGTGGTAGGCATTTTTTTTGTAACCTCAGTAGATCGTGCAATTATGACCAAAATTTTAAATTTTGTAATTTTGACCTGTTCCAACTGATATTGGCTAACATTTTACGTCATTCAGATTATTGCAAATAGAATTATCTTACAGCAAATTTAGCGTTCTTTCAAATGGTGTAATTGGATTTGTTGTAGTCTCAACATTTTGGGAGTTGTAAGCTTTTTTTTTTGTGGTAAGGTAGTGAAAAGTTGAAAAAACCTAAATTGACGAATATCTTCAAAATAGAGAACTTTCCGAAAATTTTCTCCTGGGCATTTTTTTTGCTTCAAACGAAGAGTAGAATCGATTCCCTGAGTTTCGTCAGAAGGAATTGGGACACCCTGTATAAACCCTCAGGGTGCCGACGTTTTTGAAAAAAAAGCCCAATAGTAAGTATGTCGGGTTCGAATGCAGGGCCGCTGGATTCGAACCCGGGACCTTTACCTTACAGTGATGAGCGCCGTGTCAACGCCTAAACCGTTGCGGCCACCGACACCCTCCTAGGACTATTGTTCAATTGACTTCTGTCGCCATCGAGTTTATATGTTCTGTACAATCAAATATTAAAGTTGGATGTTTCGACAGGGAAATTCGCATCCGACAATTCTTATAAAACTCTGACAACACGATAAACAAAACAATGCAGTTTTCAGTTTTCAGCATTTATTATTTGTTGTCATAATTAATTTAATTTTTGTTTCAGGTCTAAACCGGCTTGGATTCGGGGATTTTAATTTAGGTATGTTCCAATCTTTTTTCTGTAAATTTTAGTGAATCATATTTGATTAATAGTTTACAATACTCTTGAGAATATCCTTTACAATATATCTATGTATTGTGTATTTAATACTTAATATATGTATAATGCTATATGTATAAACGAAATAAAACAAGGTTCTAAAATAATATTATTTTATGCCTACAAAATGATAAAAGGCACGAGCAGTACAATACATACGACTCGGTATTTTACGTCCTGTGTATTATAGTTGTCTATAAATAACAAATTTTATATTAGTAGTTTTAAATGTATTACGAATTAAAGAGTTATTCCGGAATTGAAATTTTTTGTGCTCAAGTGACACATAGGTAAAATATTTAAATCCAAAGCATAGAAAACTGTCAAAGAAGACATTTTTCCATGCACAGTTAACTAAATTAAAACAACCTCAGAATTAACGACATCCATTTGGTAAAACATGGGTCTCGTCCTATGTATGTATTAAAAAAGTGCAAAACTCGTTTTTTGTTCCGAAGGAAGAAAATAGGTTCTAAAGAGACCAGCGTAAATTCGTCAAAAATATACGCGTGTAAAAAAATTATCCACCTCACGTTCTCTACTTTTAAAGGACGGAAACTAAATATTCTCACAATTCGGGCACGTACAGATGAAAAAAATCTCTACCGGATCAAATGCACAAAAGGACCAGAGCCGAACGCTAATATCTCAAAGGACGTCGATAAATTCTAAATCCAGATTCCATCAAGCCATTAACACCATTCAACACAAAATGAAAATCGTATGCTGGAAATATGACTGGAATAGACGTACCAAAAAACAAGTTGCTAAAATGAATCTACAGACCATACTTCAAAAGGCAAGCTTAACGTAGCAGATGATATTGTTATCCGTTTTATCCAACTTTCTCTTTTTGTATTCAAATAATATAGCAAATTTTTTAAAAATACATAGCAATAATTTTTTTATTAAATACAGTTTGGAAAGTTATTGCAAAGCGAATTTAGAATTTATCAGGTTTTCTTTATCCATTTGAAATCATGAGAGAACATGTCTCTGTTCGCATACACTTTCAATATGGATGCCAATTCCTATATGAAAGCGTTCACAAATGAAAATTGAAAATCTTTTTCCTCCAAATCTTTTTAGGAACTTGATCAGAATCAGCAACCATTTGTTTAAAACTGTTAAAATTGGTACATAAATAATATCAAACGTCCAAATAATTAAATTAATTTATTTAATTGTTATTATTTTTTATCAGAATTTAATAATCTATTATGAAGTATTTACTTTGTAATAATTCCCGCTTTTCGCACTTTCAAAATGGAGCGGCATTAAAAACGAGTTTCTCATTGGAACGGCGCATTGGCGGGGGTATCGGCGAGTTCACTTGTGCAATTCATGTCGAGAGACGTGGTTGTAAAACTCCTTCAAGCTGATGATGAGCTAAAAGCTCGAAATCCGGATCGCGTTAGAAAACAACTTACTGCGAATAGGAACTATCTTGTTAAAAAGGATCAAAAATGGTCATTCCTATTAACATTTTCCTTCTAGTAAAAGTGCCATAGAATAAGCTCTAGAATCGAATTGTACAATAAAAATAAGGGATTTTTCATTTGAAATAACAAAGTTAGAGTCATTTCCCAGCTAGATGAGAAAGTTATGTTAAATCCGTTACCACCACGCCATCCCTAGCCAAAAGTAAGCAGGGGTTTGTATTAGACATTTTTTTGCTAAAGTTAATCGTTTCTGAATTAAATGGGTGGACTATAAAAGTTGACATACCATGTACATCTATGTAGATAAACAGCGCTAATAAATATCAATCTGGTTATAGTTTGATGGATATGACGGAAATATAATTGATGTTTGTGATTCGATTGATTATGTACATATAAACCGTGAAATCAGTGGATAAATAGGTCAATAAATGAATCGATTAATTAAGCTTAAAGTTAATCATACCATTTTTATATATATGTATACATTTCTCTATTCGAGTTAACACGAGTTAACATCTAAGAAACATCGTGAATACCCGTATTATCTATGAAAAGTTAAAAAAATTGACCTAAACAATGGAAATGTTGAAAAGTCAACATCTGCGTTTTTCGAAGTTGGGAACTTTTGTAACCCCTTCACGATGTTTGTAAGATATTATATTATATTTGGTTATATTTATGATTTTTATTATTTTAGTCAGAAGATTTCTGTATTTTTTAAATTTAATAATTTACAATTGTTACAGCTTTACGAATTAATTTAATTTTTTTAAACATGTAATAAATACAAAGTCACAATACACCATCTTTACAATCCTTCGTGAGACTTGTCCTAGCATATACTTATGTTCCTCAATCCGACAAAGTTAAGTATTTAGGACGTTTGATAGATGACCAACTTGGAATCCAAACACACGATAAAAAAAAACACTTAACAAACGATTTAAAATTCTTCATCACCTACTTAACGGACAATCAAAATTCCATTAAATTCAAAACTTTCGGCATGTACATACTTACTCCAACCTCTTTAGATGTACGGGTGCCAAGCTTTTGGATCGCTTAAATATTCCAGTATTCAAAGATTACAGTTTTCGATCCAAAATTTTAAGACTAATTTTTTCTACCCCTTTTTACGTAAACAATAACACACTTCACAGAGATCTTCACATGAAATGACAGTTTTTTACATCCATCAAAATATATTACTGACGTTTGATAGTAAATTATAAATTATTCAGAAATCGTGAGATGCGAATTTCTGAATAACTATCGATTAACGGTCACTAATCACCACACACACGTAAATTATAAAATCACACTAACACATAAATACGATTACTTTATTACCCACAATTACCACGTAAACGTCTGAAAAGAATATAGATAAGAGACCTCTTAAATGATTAATATAATTTTATTAATCCAGAGTCGCTGCCAATGTGTAATTTTCTCTATAACGCCCGTAATGCCGCAAACATAAATTATCCAATCTGCTGGTTGTATATACAGTGGACGCCGCTTATATGACTCACGGATATAAGGATCAGTTGCCTATAAGAAGCAGTATCGCCAGAAACTGTCCGAACGTATCCGAATACATAGAAAAAAACCTCGGTTATGAGACTCACCACTTCGGATATAAGACTCAGTTTTTTCCACTGTCTTGCATGTCCTCAACCTGGTCTCTATGGAAATATACTGCTAATACTTGCTAACACTGTCACTGATGCAGCCGTGTGACCAAGGAATCGTTCGAACCTTTAAACCAAATTACAGGTGAAAAATGAGAAAAACCTTACCGCTCTTATTGACTAAACTTTGGAATCTTAGTCAACTTCAACTTCAAATTCGATTTTAAAGGCTAACGACCTCGCCAAGAAAATTCACATTCTCGAGGCTTTACACCTGGGGAACAAAGCGTGGAATAACGTTAGTGATGTGATCATTTGAAACTGCTTTTGTCAAAACTGATGAAGAGCTGGAGAAGGAGGACGATAGCTGCTCTATTGAGACGCCAGAAGACTTTACTGTGATGTGCTACGAGGATTGGATGGATATCGATCACAATCTACAAATCTCTGAAGCGTATCAAATCTGCCAGCCCGTCATGAACGAAGCCAGCAGCAGCACATCGGATGATAGGAACGATGACGATGTTCTCGAGAAGGAGACCGATGAATTCGAAGTTCCACCTTCCAACTCAAAGGTTCTAAGGGCTCTAAGGGTGTGTCCTTTATTTTATAGGTGAATGACAGGAAAAATAAATTTTGTGTATCACCTACATTCTAATTCTTTTTCCTTCACTTACAAGGTTCATCCGCTAATAAGACCCACTTTTTGCTGGTCCCAAAGTGAATCTTATAAGCGGGGTCCACTGTAGTACATGTTCAGTTGTAGATGAAAATAAATAAAGCAAAAAAATGTAATAAACATGGTTTTTTTTGTTGGTTCTAAATTAGAAAATACTTTTAACTCGTGGGAAACAACAGGGATGTTAAAATTGAATTGTTCAGGTGTACACTTATCGGAGTTCAGCCGAATTTTTACGCCCGGTATGTTTGACCTAAGGGCGGCTCACCCGTTCGAGGGTCGTGGAATTCTTTTATTCCGCGTTGTCAGACCTGAATTCATATTTTTATTGATTTCGAATCGAAAGTCCGTAAAAGGACGGACGAGTGCTCCGCTCTCGGTTAATCAAGAGTTCGATTTGTCCGTTTAATTAAAACGGCGGATTTACTCCTGCCGTCGCCTCCAGACGAAGGAATATCAAAACAATCATGAATCTTAGATTGGATCTAATTCTGCCGTCGTAATGAGTTAAAACGAAATTTAAATCAAACAGTCTGACCGAAATGACAAGTGTGAAAATGTCAAATATATGTTGAAGTAATAATGGGAGGAAAGTAAAGTCATACTTTCGTACCACTTACTTTATCGTAATGTTAGGGTTTACTTTTTCCTTCTTCAAATACAATCAGCGGATTAAAAAAGGTACATTTCTATTCATATATCCGTCCTATATAGCGGGCATTAATTCTCCGTCTTTTTCCAAACACCAAAAGCGGGCCGGGTTAATCTCTTAATAAATATTTAGAAGGAAACAACTCAAAAATCGCCAGAGGGCTCGGATCAAGGGTTGCCTGCAGCACCCTGTAATTTCGGATCAGCGGGAGTAGAGCGAATTCTACCCTTTTAAATTTTACTCCCGATTATGAAAAGAAATGTTCTCTCTTGAAAATTACAATTTTATATTGTGGTCCGTTATAGATTTGTTTAACAAAAATGAAACCTATCATACACTGACAGACCAAAAATTCCACCCACCTGCAATAAAACTTGATTTGTATATAATTTTATATATTAATCAAAGTTTCACGTTTTTTAACGTTTAATAATTGCGTCTTTGCTTAAATGTAAATTGCTAAGGAAAATTATAAATTAAGTTTAATTAACATTTCAATATCGCGTATTTCCTCCTTTTGCTTAATTAGATC